TGACCAATGATTGACATTCATTTATTATAGGTCAATTACAAGCATCAACAATTTAATTGTTATATAATTGTTGTTGTGTTACATACAAAATTTTTTAAAAAATTTAATTATTATATAATTGTTGTGGTGTCACATACTAAAAAAAAAACAATTTTGATATCTATTTTAAGTAGCTTAGGGCATGTCATTCCAAGTATTTGAACTATAAATAATATTAATGTCTTGCAAAATATCTTTTTCTTCTAAAAAAATTTATCTTTATACTTGGGAATATTTTTAAAATCATATAATTATTTTAAATTTTATTTGATTACGATGACATATTCTATTATAATTAAGTCAATAGGATGAAATCATACCCCATTATTTTATAAAGATAGTATGAATAGACCCGTTTAGCCAGACTGACCTAAGTCACGCTATATATACCCCATAATCCTATAAAGATATGGTTTTCATATCATATTGTTAAGATTGAATGTAATTTTTGTGCTTATTACAAATTTATTATGTTTTCTTATAGTGTTTTTTTGTTTGTGAGTTGTGGGCTTAGGATTAGATATATATTTAATTTATTTCAAAGTCTATTTCAATAAAGGAGGGGGATGTAAATATATTTCCAAAGACTAATTGGGTTTGTTACCCATTGCAAATTTCAAGCGTGACCATTATACATTGCATGCTATATTTATCCTTATGAATATTGATATCTATTTTATTAACTAAAGGAAACATTTTTTTATTTTTATCATATAATTTTCAAAGTTTAAAAAGAGCCTATGTGAAGCTTTGGTATGAGTTCTAATGGAGCATTCAGATCAGAGCCATTACTCATATATTATACTTAGGTTCAAGAATGAATTTTAGTGTAAATTTAAAATGGGTTATATATGCTAACTTTGATAGCTTTCTTTTCTTTTTATAGGATGTACTACAAATCCAATTGGAATTAGCCTTTGACATTTATTCATTCTCTTATATGTATTTATTTACAACACTTTAATGATTTACTAATTTCTTAATAGTGTGATATTTTATGGGGCCGATTGTTAAATGTTAGGCAATTAGGATACAAATATCTTACTTAAAAAGCAATTACATAAGAACATCAAATCAAATGCTTCAACATTATTTTTGTAATAAAAACTATTTAATTAAGCATGGCCTATGGCCACTATATCAAATAAAAATTAATTTAAATTCTTCATATGATTGTGGATTTAATTGTTATGTATTGTGCCTCCTATGCCATCTTATAAAGAAGAGTTTCATAACCATTATTGATTCAATGCGTTCACACTAAGGATATATAATATTTGCTTAATTTCTAGTCCTATAAATCATACTTTTTTTTTCATTACAAGTAGACTCAAGAAGAGAAAAACAAAGTACAGACTGACTCAACCCTAGACCTACGCAATCTTGAACTGGCTTCGTCTGTTCGTCCAATTTTTTATTCCTGAAAAGTTAGAAGCAACAAGGAGTCCAAGAGAATCAACAGTGTTTGTCAATCATCAAAACAAAAGTCATGAAAATAGATTTACAACAACAACATATCTTAAACAATCCAAAAAGGTTATAACAAAAAAGAAAGTCGAGCTGAAAAAAAAATCAAGCTAAAAGCTAAAAGCGGGCTCAGTAAGCGACCGAAGCTTCCAGTGACCCTGAAGCCTCGCACGGACCGTCCAGTAAGGTGTAGACAATGTCCAAAAAACCATCCCGAAAAGCCACACCAAAGGTTGCCACTAGCAAAACGACCGGGATGCGAGCTCCGACCACATCATTGCCCTTAGCCCATCGCACCAGCAAATTCAACCACAAAGCATATAATTCCCGAGGATAACTCCAAGAGAAAAAAATGGAAAACATAATGCCACAAAAAATCATCGTCTACGTCGGCCTCTCCCCCAAAATCTCCCCCGAGCTGCACCAATGAGAGAAGGTCTTGAACAAACCAGAGAGAAATCATTGTCATTCTCAGACATCAAACCACCTTCAGAAGAGTCAGATTCTGATTCACCATCCGACGAAACAATCAGCCAATTAAGCTGATCCCTAATCTCCACACCAGAAGAATCACCCAAACATTTAGCCATAGCTTGCGTATCAATCTCATTCACTGGAACCTCAATTAACCTATTGACAATAGGAATACACTCCTCACTTACACCAGATGACGGAGGCTCAGCCTCAAGCACAACTGGAAAAGATTCAATAGACAAATTAACAGCAGCACCACCTTCCAACTTATTAAAAACCTGACCACACCCATTTGGTTCCACAACACCCAAAACAAGCGAACCACCAGACCCCCTTCCACCCTCGGCATAAGAAGTCGCACCAATAATAGGAGCCGAGGCCAACTCCGCCATCAGACCAACCGCCAAAGATTCCACAATCACATCCGACGGACCAAAGCCGTCCACCAAACACGAGGGAATAAACATAATGGCATTAGGAGACAACAAAGAAACATCAACATCCAACAAATTGACACCAACATCAAGCACAGTTGGGCTATTACAGTTAACAACACCCACAGTAGAATTCATGCCAGGCTCCGAATGACCACCAGCCAAAGCAACAGGGCCAAACCTAGCCACAGGGGAACACCCCGATGGCTCACTAGAAAGTAAAGCCCCAAAACCAACATCAGAATTTGACACAGAGCCTGGAGCTAGATTATTTGACACCGCAGGAACATTAATCACCGGAGGACTTCGATCCAAAGAAAGGGGAACATAATGTAAAGCATTATGAGATACCATAGTTACAGCAACATTAGGATCCTTAACGACAACATCCAGCACATCATTAACCACCTTAGAAATACCAACAATCACATCCGGTTTCTAAGACAAAGCCAGCGCAGGTTTAGTAATAGGATGTAAAATAGGGCAGTTATCCTTAGAGTGACCTAAGGACTGAAAATGCATATAGAATAGCGGAATGTCATAAAAAATAACCGTTTGAACATAGCTCGTTTCCATAGAACCAACCCAAATTTTATCACGGTATTTCTTCGTAACATCCAATTCAACCAGGATATGCGCCATGGACGGACGAGAGCCCGAAGCAGTGGCCATATCCGACTTGAGAGGTTTACCGAAAAGAGAACCTAATCCAAAGCGGATTCTAGGAGAAAACAAATGAGGTCTAAGAAGAGGGAAAGAAACCCAAATCGGCACAATAGGGGAATCCACCTCAACATCCAAATTGGGAGACCATTTAACCACTTTCATAAAATTTTTTTTCACAAAGTAAGATCTATGGGAAAACATACAGCAATAATCAAAATAATTCACTAACTTAATGAAAACGTTCCAGTGATTAAGAACAGTGACCGAGAATTCTCCAATAAGATTTAAATTAAAACAAAAATTCCAAATCGCATCAACAGGCGGACGCCTTTCCGGAAAACGGCCAACCAAAGCGAAATCAAAAGGGGCCGCAAGGGAACGAATTTCTTCCTCATAAATCAATAGAGCCGGCAAACCACGATGAGAAGAAACGCATAACTCGGGAAAAGTAGAAGAAATACCAGCTAAAGTGTCTTTAAAAGATAGAGGCGCAGCAACCCCCTTCAGGAAACCGGGATCACAAAGGCGAATGGAAGCCATGAGGCAAACACCAAAAAAATTGAAGAAAAACGGGAAGGAAAAGACACCAAAACGCCAAAACTCATCGCGACGGCGGAAACCCTAGCAGAGGAAGCGAAAGGCGTTTCGACATCGATACTGATCTTCTTCTATAAATCATACTTTGATTTGGCAAAAATGCAAATGCAATAAGTGAACCATAGTAAGGTATATGATGAAGTTTATTAAGTATAACTCAAATGTTATGCTTGTGATGAATATTATTTAAGACTTCAAGCCTTGTCACTTTAGGCAGTGGTAAGTTTTCAATCTTCTCAAACCCTACTCTTTGCTTATTGTATGGCTCTTCTAACATCCTCCTCTCAAACTCCCATATCACTTATCTAATAATTTCCCCACAAAAATGCATTTAAAGGGCCTATAAGTGCACTCAAACAAGACTAGCACTAACCTAACCTAATTTTGTTTACAACTTCATGGCCTTTCTAAACCACTTTAAAATTTATAAAAATATTAGAATATTAAAGTATACAAAATATTATCAAAGTTAAAAGAAATTAAATTTCATGGAGTTCCCAAATCTAGATGCACCAAATTCTAAATCTTAAGTTAAAAATTTTGTCCATATTCCCCTTTCCACTATCTAGCCAATCTCCTCTACATGAAAACTTAATAGTAACTCTATTAAACCGTTTTCAAAGATACTAAACTATTCCTAACACATTTTGAAGGCATACTAAGAATCCATCCAATGGCCTAATCTTTTTCCAAACTACAATTGGTATTAAAACCAAGGTTCGAGGAGGAACACTGGAGACCTCACTATCGTGAGGATTGGTTGATTGATAAAGCACGTGAAATAGGTGAATTAAAAATCCATGAAAATTTAATTCTCTAATTTTAGATTTTTTTTCAATATTTTTATGCTACTAATTTTTTATATCAGAGGTTATCAGCCAAATTACTTATTTTAACCAGTTACATTAACCATTTTAGTCTTATAAACTAGTTTCCTCCACTTTCAATTTTCTAATAAATCACCGCCTAACTTATCTTACGTTAAAATTTCTAGAGTTAAAACACATTATTAAGAGAGTTCCCAACTTACAAAATAAAACTTTTCCTTGGTTCCAATTAATATCATAACTTAACGCAGAAAACTTAGGTTTTATTAGAATTTTTTTTTGTAAGAAATCTTAATGTTTACCATTTTTACTTGCTTCTTATTTTAAAGAGAAGGATTTAAAAATTTAAACTCAATTTAAAGCTTATTTTTAAATTTACTAAATTAAGAAATTATAACTTAAGTAAATAGAAAAAAAAAATTAAAAAATTCTTTTTCTACCAAATTGAATCATTTTGCTTCATCACTACCTACAACATGCACCAAAATCTACTACCATGGATCAAGTCGAAAACATGCCACTACAGGAAAATATGTCATTACCGTCAAAGTTTCAGATGGATAATAATACTCCTAAAAATGCGATGGCGGAACCGGCGGAATATATGCCGGGAAAGTTTTGGCGTAATTTTCAGTGAAATTTCTGACATACAAATATCGTCATATATTCCACCATAATTTTGTCGGGGAAAATATAAATTTTCTAGCAAACATTTTGACAATTTTCACTGGCGGAATGAATGACAAAAATTTGCCGGCTTACTTAAACTTGATGAATTTCTACCTATGCATATTCCACTAGTGACCTGACCGATGGATAATCCACTAGAAAATGCACCAGAAAGGGCCCTATTTCGACCCCTCTACTATCTTTTTTCTCATTCTTCCCATTTCTTTGCTCTTGCTTTTCTTAGCCACCCCGAACGACTCTCACTGACTTTGCCAAACCCAGAATGCAACCAACCTCCCACCGACTCTGCCAAACCCCAAACACAACCGAACCTCACCGATTTTGCCCGAACCCCGAACACGATCAGACCTTCGCCGACTCCACCAAACTTGCACCATTCTTCTCTTAGCTTGGCTCACATTTGAGAGCTTCCCCAAATGTGACCACCCTCATCAACTTTCATCACCTTCAAGTGATTATCAATATCTTAATGAGATTTTTTGTGCATGCATAACATAGAGCAAAGGAACTATGATAGATATGGGGCTAGAATCAAAGTAAAAATGCAACGATGGATACATATTATGTTATATCCTAAATATTTGAAGAACTTGAATATTTTCAATAGAAATTTGAAAGAGAATGTAATTTAGTGTATACTTTTGGCTTTAGTTATGGATCAATGTTCTCACTAGACTTTTGGAAAAGAAATTAGGTCAACCTTTGAGTCTAATGGTTTTCGCATAAGTAGATCTAAAACAAAACATATGGAGTGTTGAGGTGTTGACTACATAAATGAGCCCTTCACTCGTGTGAATTTGTTGATGAGCCAATATGTCATTATTATGATTCTTGTACTCTGAACACATAGACTTTCGTAACATACCGGTACAAGTTAATGGTTATTTGGCTACTCGAAATTATTTGTATGCTTAGGTTTACCAAGGAGCATATATGTGAAAGGTTGGAGTAGATCTAGTAGAAGATAAGATTAGATAGAGTCGCTTTGGATGGTTTGGTCACATAAAAGAAGGGTCTTTTGATCACTCTAAAACTCTTTATATATTTCCTAAACTGAGCCATCTTTGATAGAGGACTTATGTGAAATTTAAAAAATCATCTATTTTGTTTCAAAAAATATTACAACATAATCTAATATATCCATATTATGTATATGTTATATTATGGATATTAAAACTCAAAGAAGTTGGATGTATAATCAATTGACACAAGGATGAAAGACATTGAGGGATGAGTTCAATAAAGGGGTGAATTTTTTAATTCAGATAGCTTCTCAACTGCCTAGATTCATCTAAGATGGAAAGTTTCACTGCCCCTATTCTAAATATAAAAATCTGGTGCACCTAATCCCAGATGACATAACTGTCAATCTATACCATCGAGGCTTCATGCTAGAATATTATTATTAGACTTCTTATGGTGAGTATGAACCATATTTTGATTATCGATGCAACAAGAGTACCAACAATGGGTTGATGAGCAGGCGAGGAGAGCCAATATAAGTATATAAGTTTAATTTTTTTTTATGCGATGTATAAATTTCTTAAACTTTTATTAACTTTCATTGGAGGAGTATACACAGCTTCAAGAGAGCCAGGCTGTAGCAGATAAAGGTTCTTCTATTGGAGAATATTTTTACTGCCACACTTGGTTGCAACTAGTAAAAGGAATGCAACATGGTAGAGTATACAATTTTAGCTTGCAATCCTATGCATACGAGGGTCAGACATCTGGTGGCTCCATTCTCTCAATAAATACTCAGGAGTCTTTATATACCTAATATATAATTGTCCTTACATCTGAGCTAGAGCCCGTAAGGAAAGCATAAGCTTACTAGTAGATGTAGATGCAGTAGTAGATGAAGATGCAGCAGCAAATGTAGATGCATATACAACAAACTTAAATGTTAGAGGAAATGTAAAAGATGAGGAAGCTGATGAGTGGGGGGAGTACAACATTAAAAGAGGAGGAGATTGAATCAGAGTAGATATTATTTATTTTAATGATGGGCATCTGTAATTATGTGTTTTTGGACATGTTTACTTATTTATCATTTGGACATCTTGACTTTTTTTATTGGATATTTATTGATGATATGCTTCTTTTTTTATTGTGTATATATTTATATTCAATAATTTTGTTTTTTTTTAGAGGAAGATGTTTGAATGTATATAGTATTACATCTTTTTATATGCTAAGTTGTATTGTAGAAATTAGTTTCAAAAGAAAGAAGGTTAATTTTTTGTTTATACTACAAGTTTTTGGTACATTATCTATCGAAAATATTGTTAGTAATATGATAAGTAGAAAATAAAATGACATTTTTAGCATATATTTGTGCAGGAATTTCTGGTAGCTATTTCGACGGCAAAGTCAGTCGATAACAGTTTGGTGCCTTAAGGTAGTGGATTATCCACCAATAATTCTGGAAGACAATATCTGTTGAAATTACTAGTGGATTATACATCGGAATATGAAACAAAAAAAGGCCTCGATATATTGTAGTTTTTTTTGCCTGAATTGTGACGAAAATGCCGTTGGAAAATTTTTGGAGGAAACATTTTGGCGGTTTAAACTTTCTGATGCGTGAATTATCGTTGGATCATTTTGCACTGGAATTTTTTCATATATCTTATATTTTTGGTGGATTTGGATTTTGATTGTTTCCGACAGATTTTGTCTACCGATAATAAGGCATTTTCCGACAATGTTCCCAGAAGAAGAGGAGAAGTAACTTACATAATCAGAATAATTTAAATAAAGTAAAAGATGAAATTTATCTTACATAATGAGGAGAATGTTAATAAAATATAAGAAATGATTATGAATCAAACTACCAAAATACAAACTTGACCACTTGAATTAAAGTTTAACTACCATCCCACAACTAAGCAAGAGATGAAAAAATAGAAGAGGAATTTAAAGAAAATTGTAGGTATATTTATCAACATAGGAGAGATTATTTTAAAAACTATAATAAGAAATTAGTCCAACCCTGTGACTCACCAGGAGGATGAAAAGGAGCCAAGATTTTATTCCTGTGAAAGGAGTATGGTCCTCTGCCGCACCTGGTTGTTAAAAGACAATTTATAAGGGCTTATCCATCTAGCTATGGGGGCTAAAGGAAAGACAATATAGTGATGGTGCAATACCTAGAGTGGGTGACTCCCGCAGGGAGTCGATGTAGGTCATAATTTAATTGAACCACTTTAAAATTTGGTGTGTTATTTCTTATTTTTTTATGTAGTTTACTTTTTTACATTTTGTTTTCTATTAAAATTGTTTGGTTAAAAATATGTTATTTATATTATGTTGTATTGATTAGATTATTATCACTATCTTTGTAACTTTATATAAGGGTACTAGCTTCCGCATCAAGTGATAGTATTACTTTCATCTTAGGGAGCCTTAGGACTAGTTCATTAATGTCTTCAATCTCCAAAAACTTTCATTATCCTCCAATAAATGGATTGGATAAGGACTTCAATAACACACTAGAGTAAATTCTAACAAAAATTATGATTGAGAATAAATTATAGTTGCATGAGATGTTAAGAAAAGCTTTATTGGCCTACAAATATATATATCAATTTAGGTTTGTATATTTTATACATCTGATCATTTAAAACAAAAGTGTTTGCAAGCTAGTAGAAACTTAAGTTATATAAATCCTGTTTGAATAAACCCATAATAGATTACTCTATACTAGAACTTTTGAGACTTGGTATTAGTTCTCAAAGGCATGTTATAGTTCATTGTAGGATGGACGAAAACTTTGAGCCTATGTAGAAAGGTCATTATGTAATAGAAAAAGTCTACTATGGAGAACTTATAGATTGTTTGATTATAAAGGTTAACACTTTAAGCTTCTCTTCGAAGGACACTATCTCAGGAAGTATTATTTGTGACTAAATTAAAAATAATATTTCAAAAAAAGGTTTAAGCATTTGTTATATAATTGTATGAATTTTGAAACTCAAATGATGAATTGGGTCCAAATATTCAAAACTTTGATTATTAAAATTTGAACTGAATTAAAAATAATGAAGTTATACATGAGTGGTTAAGATGCTTTGTTGAATTTTATTTATCAAAGATGATAGATAAACTCCACCAATTTCTCCTTTACTAAAAAATAATGGGGTTGTGAAACAAAACAAATAATTCCAAATAAAATAATCACTTAGTTGTATGAGGTTGCCATCATTTGTAGGGAAGTGAAAGATAGTAAAAATCCCAAATGTAATTTTAAATCTTAAAAATTCTTAAAGTTAAAGAAATCCTCAAAAATTCAAAATCTCTTTAATTTCTCCCCCTATTCTAGAAAATGACATGTACAAAAAATCTTGACTATTGTGAAACATTTCTCAAGTTTAAAAGGTCGTCATTTATGATGAAGAGGGATAATTAGAAAATTTAGGAAAAGCTTTACAATATTTAAAATTTAAAATTTACTTATTTTGTAGTTTATGATATCCATTTGGTATTCCAATTTGTAGTTTGAGTTCTGGTTAACACAAGTTACACATTTGGTCCTAGAACCACCTTTCCAATATATTCTCGAGTATTTTTTAGGATATAAGTCATTGGAAAAATTTTGTAATTACCCACCAAAGTTCAAATCAAATAAAATTTTGTGTTTTATGATTAGGAGTTAGTAACCCAAACGATCTTCCTTTTCATAGGCCAAGTATAGTTAGTGTTGGATAATAGTTTTCAATTCCCTATCTAGTTTAGTCAACCCGAACAAAATCAAAATTTACTCTTTTAAGGTTAGGAGTTAGTAACCGAAGTGAGTATCATATCCATATAATTATACTAGCTAGTGTTGGATAACACCTTTTTAGGTCCATTCCTATTCTAGTTAGCACAATTCAAGTTATATTTTAGTCTTTTAAGGTTAGGCATTAGTAGCCCAATGGGAC